AATTATTTTAAAAATTATAAAAAATATAATATTATTTTATAAATAAATTAAATTATATTATTAATTATATATAAATAAAATATATTATAATAAAAAAGGTTTAATGTAAATTTTTAAAAATATAAAAAATTTTTTAAAAAAAAAAATTATTTATATTATATAATTTTAAAAAATTAATAATTTTAATAATTATAATTTTTAAAAAAATAAATAATAATATAATTTTTATAATTAATATATTTAAATTATTTTTTTTAAAAATTTTATAATTTTTAAATATTTTAAAAAATTATTAATTATTTTAAAAAAATATTTTAAAATAAAATAATATTAAATTATATTATTTTTTTAAATAAAAAATATTAAAAAAAAAAAAAAAAATAAAAAAACTTTTTATTTAATATAAAAGATATTATTAAAAAATATTAAAATTATAAAAGATTTATTTTTTTTAAAAAAAGTAATTAATTAAAAATTATTATAAAAAATTAAGTTAAATTTTAAAATTAAAAAAAATTAATTAAATAAAAAAAAAATAATTTTTAATTAAATTTATTATTTTTTATTTTATTTAAATTATTTAAATTATTTAATTTTATTACGTTTATTTTATTTATAAAAATATTTAAATAATAAGATTTTATTAAATTATTATAATTAATAATTTATTAAAAATATAATAAATACGTTTAAATTTAATTTTTTTTTATTTAAAATGTATAAGTATTTTAAATAAAAAAGCCATTTATTAACTTATTTTTTTTAAAAAATTATTAATAAAAAAATGGGAAAAAAAGTAAATAAAAAAAAATATATAAAATATAAAATATAAAAAAAATATAAAAGAAAAAAGAAAAAAATAGCATTAAAAAAGGTTAAAAATGTAGATAATAATTAATAAAATAAGATAAAGTATATAAATAAAAGATTTTATGTTTAAAATACTCGAGTGGTTTAAGTAAGTACTTAAGTACCTGAAAGACGAATGATTAAGTGGTGATTTTATTATGGTGATTTTACCCTAGGATGGTTGGTTATGCGGGAGTAATTGTCCATAAAAGGGAAAGTATGAAGAGAAATATTCCCTAGAAGGGGTAAGGGCGGGGGACTTTATATATTTCTCTCTTTCAATTATTTTATTCCTTTCATTTCCCCTCCCTTGCATGAGATGTTTTACGCAACTGCGCAGAAGTCCTAGAGGAGGCGTACTAACCCAAAAGAGTTATCGATAGAATATCGATAAGACAGTCGGACAGCATCGAGCCTTAATTTTTATGCTCTTATAGCCGAGCTGGAAAAGAGTCTTATTACTTAAGATATTTTTGATGGAACAAATATGTTGACCTCGCAATGGGTGTGCCGTCGCTGTATCAAGGCACTAGCACAGCCTCTGAATCGACAATTCATACGGTTAGCTAGTACAGGTACGTAATAATAACAGGTATATACTACACATATTACACATATTATCCGCTATAATTCGAATGGTGAACTGTCATTTTGGAACTAACATTGCACATTGCCCAAGAATCACAGACGAATCTACCCTCCGTTCTCCTCCAACGCGCACGGAATATAACCGCCGAACATGACAAGCTCGCAGCCGACCTTGCCAATGACTTCGACTCCAAGATAGCTAAGCGTGTCGGCGAACTGTCCCGCGTCGCTCAGGCCTTGAAAGAATGGGAAACCGCTCAATCCTCTATAGTAGAGCTTACTGCTCTCTTACAATCACAGGATACCGAGTTACGTCAACTAGCCAAAGATGAATTATCCGCAACCAATGCCAAGTTTAATTCTTTGGCCACTGCTCTGTCCGCTTCTCTTACGCCACGTGACCCCTTCGCTGATATGCCTTGTCTACTCGAGGTGCGCCCGGGGCCCGGCGGCATGGAAGGTCGCTACTTCGCAGACGCGGTATTCCGCATGTACCGGCAGTACTGTATACGCAAGGGCATGCGCACAAGCATTCTGAAGTACGAGACAGTAGACGGCGGCGAGTCTTTAACCGGTGGTTCGAGCGAGTCTCCGCTTCAAGAGGCGGTGCTCGAGATTTTGGATGTGGGCGCATTCGACCAGTTCCGCGGCGAGGCGGGCATGCACCGCGTACAGCGCGTGCCGTCTACAGAGACAAGTGGGCGCACACACACGAGCGCCGTTGCGGTATGGGTCTTGCCATCGTTCCCCGAGGACGAGAGCGATATGCCAAACGAGCAGAGTTTCAACGATCCCAATAGCATATTTTACGTAGACCCGCGAGAGGTCAAGGAAGAGAAGATGCGCGCAAGCGGGGCAGGTGGCCAGCACGTCAATAAGACAGAGAGTGCCATAAGGTTAACCCACGAGCCGACAGGCATCACGGTATCGATGCAGGATTCGCGGTCACAGCACCGTAACCGGCAGTCGGCGTGGACATTGCTACGATCGCGTATCGGCCAGCGCCGACGTGAGGAGCGCGAAGAAGAGGCATGGGCGCTGCGCAATAGCGTGCTAAGCAAAGACAAGATCACTCGCGGCAATAAGATCCGCACCTACAACTACAGCCAGGACCGATGCACGGACCATCGAAGCGGCTTGGACGTACACAACCTACCCGACGTGCTGGAGGGTGGAGAAACACTAGACAAGATTATGGAGAGCACGAAAGAGTGGCTGATAAAGAGAGACATCGAGGCGCTGATCGCCGAGGAAGAGGCTGCTGCGGCGCCTACGACTAAGGGGACGAAGAAGACGAAGAAATGAGTCTTCTTGTCTCTCTTGTATCAATAAATAGCATTGTGTTATTTGATTTACGACATGGACGATGTATATACACCTCGCGTGTAAGAGGCCTCTTAGTAGTGAGCTGGCTTCAATAGAGAATCATCTACTGCCCTCGAATTTCGAAGTGCCACGATACCTAAACCTACCGACCGTATTCTTTAGATAGATAAACACATAAATCTAGTGGATCGATTCCCAGTGAGCCGGTTTAAACCGACATCTCCCCAATGGAACGTTTTTTCGTCATTTCAACGTCTTCTGCGTCTTCTGTACATAATCCTTACATACCCTTACATACGTGCTAGGAAAAGCTTATCAGGAAGCTTGGTAACGGTTCCTGGCGAGCTTCCTAATGAGGCAATTGATCGGTTCTCGCAGGTTCTCGCATCTCGCAAACACGGTGGCCCCCCGCGTCTTATATTGGGGCGTTATTCCCGTCCCCGCAGATAAGCAAGCTGTAGATGGACGTAGAGGGCTGAGAGGATATTATAATTGTATACCTACATGTAATTGAATGAACATCAAGTTTGGGGTAGGATTTGGAGAAGCTGTCTTGTTGAAGAATTAGGTGCGTCTTCTATTTTACCTACAATACCAAAGGTTAGGCACATATGTATGTTTCTTCTCTGATTGATTTCCTTATATATTATCCCCGCAAGGTTGTCTGTCCTACCAATGGACGAACAAGAACAATACCACCGTTAGACATTCCCTATCTATCTCAGCGTTTGATCTTCAGCTCCCCAACCCTCGCGCGGCACGGCCAGGAACCCGTTCATTTCCCCTCACCTGAGGTCCTGCTTTTCTTGAACCACTTTGGTACTACTCTTTGCCTCACGTATCTATGGGGTACGGTGCCTATAGACATGGGTCCAGTTTGTGTACATACAACCCACGTATGTAGCACTGCTGCACCGATGGGCCATTGGGTCATGGCAGGGCTCAGTTGCGTGAACTCCCTATTTTGGTAACTCAGTCTAATACATATGTAGTGGCCAGACCAGGTTATGTAGGCAGAATACGAAATAGACCGTTGCCGTAATCCCGGCAAGTTGTTGTTGATTCACCCTGCCACCGCCAGCCAGCCAGCCACCATCTGGGGAATTCCTCGATCTCATTTACATATCTTGGTTTCCCTCCCCTCGCATTCCTAACTTTTCTCCCAAGCTGCATCGCCCAGAGTCTCGGCGCAGCCACAAGTTTCTCGTTTTTGGGGAACGCTTGCTCGAAAGTAGTTCAGCGTTGGCCCTGCCCTTTTGAATCGGGGCCGTCGGGAATCAGGATATATACATATACGTCTCTGTATAAGTACGATACCTATAGTCATGCATTGGCCTAAGCTTGCGTCTGGGCTTCTGCTATCCGCCGCCGTCGTGACGGACGCGCGCCGAAGCTTGCAGCACGTGGGCAAGAAGGATGCGAGACCCAAGTCCACAATCTCGGAGCACGATAACTTCGCTACCCATTTCTTAGCGACGCGACAGTTGCCGCCCCCCAAATTCGCTAATGAAAACACCACAAGTACGGCACCTTTCTCTGCGTTTCACATAGCTACCTAACCTATATGAGACGTCGTGAAACCATATGATGTGTTCAAGAGTATCTATCAGCTAACCAGCCTGTCGGCAGAATTCGCCGTCAACGGTACCGGCATCCCTGATGTCGACTTCGACGTTGGAGAATCATATGCTGGGTATTTACCCATCACCGATAATCCTGACGACACCGATGAGCTCTTCTTCTGGTTCTTCCCCTCGTCAGCCCCGACGAACACGACCCAGAAAGAGATCCTGTTATGGCTTAACGGTGGTGTAAGTCACTATTCACTTATAGCTCTCGACTGTTAGAGAAACGCATGGTTCTATACACCTAGCTAACCATCGTTCGTTCTCATATATATAGCCCGGCTGTTCCTCTTTCGAGGGTCTCCTCCAGGAAAACGGCCCCTTCATCTGGCAACCCGGCACCTTAAAGCCGATCCCCAACCCGTGGGCCTGGAACCGGCTAACAAACGTGGTATGGGTGGAACAGCCCATCGGCACGGGTTTCGCGCGCGGCAAGGTGACGGCCCGCGGAGAGGAGGACGTGGCTGCCCAATTCCTCGGCTTCTGGAAGAACTTCATCGACACCTTCTCTCTGCAAGGCTACAAGGTGTACATTTCGGGCGAATCCTACGCCGGCGCGTACTGCCCGTACATCGCATCTGCCATGTTAGACAAGAACGACACCGCCTACTACGACGTGTCAGGCCTAATCGTGTACGACCCGGTTCTCGGCGACGACGTCGTCCAGGAGTCGGCCACCACAGTCCCCTTCGTCGACTACCACCACAACCTATTCACCTTCAACAACTCCTTCAGCGCTCACATCCACGAACTACACGATTCTTGCGGTTTCGCCGACTACAACGCCAAATACCTGACGTACCCCCCCTCAGGCCCGCAGCCCAAGGGATACACCCAGAGCGTCAGTCGCGAGTGCCAGAACCTGTGGGAACTCGTGCTGGACGAGGCTCTCAGCATCAACCCCTGTTTCGACGTGTACCAGGTCGCCATCACATGTCCCCTGCTGTATGACGTCCTCGGCTTCCCCGGCACGATCGGATACCTCCCCGAAGGCGGCGAAATCTACTTCGACCGGGCCGACGTGAAGGCGGCGATCCACGCAGACCCCGCCACGAAATGGGCCGAGTGCGCCGACGGCGACGTCTTCGTAGGCGGCGACCGATCAGACCCGTCTTCGTGGAAAGTCCTCCCGCACGTCATCGACGCCACGAAGAACGTCATCATCGGACACGGATCCCTCGACATGATCTTATTGCCAAACGGCACTCTGCTCACGATCCAAAACACAACATGGGGCGGACAGCTTGGCTTCCAATCCCCTCCCGTCGAGCCCTTCTTCGTGCCCTTCCACACCCTCAGCACGGCCGACCAGATCGAGCGGGAAACCGACCAGACAAAGCTAGGCAGCATCGCCGCGGCAGGCGTGCTAGGAACAGCACACACGGAACGCGGACTCACCTACGTCAGCGTCGACTTGTCCGGCCACATGATCCCGCAGTATGCGCCCAGCGCCGCATTCCGCCATCTCGAGTTCCTGCTCGGCCGCGTCGACAGCCTGAGCTCCGTCCAGCCGTTTACCATCGAGCCTAACTACCCACAGCCCCCCGAAGACGCGCTAGGAAACGGGACGGGACCCGGGACATTCAGCAACGGCGCGGCAGGGCAGGGCACGAGTGGCGTAGCGGCAAGTACTGAGACAAAGGGCTCTGATGCGGGGAGGATCGGAATGGGCTTCAGTACGGTGCTGGTGGCCGCCGGTGCCGTGGCTATGGTTGCGATGACCAATTTGTGATCTGTTAAGTTATAAACTATTTCGCTAGATAATGAAGATTTGCCAAGATTAAAAAATGGTTCTTGTTTACAAAAAGATTTGTTCATGAAATTTCAAGTCATCAATCAATATGGCATAAGAAGCCCCAAACTGAGAAATTCGTGAATTTTTAGTACATGAGGGGAGTAGAACAACGAACTACACCATGTCCTACCCAACGAGCGGATAGTATCGTAAGGATAAGCACTTCATACCTCCCAAGCCAGCCTTACCAGCCCCGCCCCGCTCCCCTCCTTTCTCCCCTCCCCATAATATTTCGATATTCCGATTCGTGCTGTGGTCGTTCATAATAAAAGACGTTGCGAGCCTGCTATCGCTTTTGCTGCCTCCAGCTAATTCCCCAAACGCCTTGCTAATTTGAAATACCAGAGATGGATATACAAGTTGTGTTGTAACACGGGTATAATCCTGAGCCAAGGAAAAATAATCCGGATCCATGTTCACTGCTCAAAGACGTTTCCTTCTCGCCGCCTGAGCTCCCTTAGCACGGCAACGACGCCGTTGCTCCGCAGCCGCTCCAAGACGATGCGCATCCCGTCGCGCGATTTGAGTATCTGGTCGTCTGTCTTGTTCGAAGCGATGGATTCGATGCTGCTCTGGATCCGCTTGGCACCCCATCCCGAAATCCAGTCACCAAACCGTCGTGTACCAGACTCTTCATTTCCATCCGTAGATTCTGCCGCAGCTTTTTCGTGCTTCTTTCCGCCCAGCGTAGATCTGTAGGAGAACGTAGTTGTAACAAAGGTGTTAGGAGCCAGGGTACGAGAGCTTCCTACGGTTCCGGAACCAGACAACGAGGATGACGTAGCCTGGTCGGGAGGGGTGGTTGAATAGCGTTGCTCCTCAACTACACTTAGGACACCCGTGTAGTTCAGATTCCGACTCTCCGTCTTCATCCATCCCTCTTTAATATCCACAACACTAGTCTCGAGGACATAGCTCGACTTGTCACCACCTCCACCAGTAACGCTGCTGGGAAGGAGCTTTACTACGGCGGAGGGCAAGCGGGTCTTCTTCATGTGGATGCGAGTCGTGTGCAGGCGACCAGTCTGTGGGTCGACATGTGACGAGATGGTGTCGCTGGAAAGGACATGACTAGAGAAGGGATTGAGACGTGGCGAGTAGTAACGGAGGAAGAAGGCTAAAGTCACAGTCGGGAATGGGTGTGAATAGGTATGATTGGTCGTGTGCGTGAGAACCATCTTGGTAGTCAGGTACGACTTATATGCCTCGGCTGCTTGAAATTAGGTGTAAAGGCGAAGGTGAAGAAAAGTCTTGAATAATAGGGATTTCAGGTCTCGTCAAGGTAAAATCTCAGACGTCCCTGTGATTTAAATGTCTATATCGACATGGGTGTGGCTCTCGTGAAAGGTTCCGATGCGATCGCCTCGAAACCGAACAAATTTTTCTTGCTTTTTTTCCTTTCCCTTTTCCCCGGGCTTTTCGTAGGTGATAATGCCCTTAAATCGAGGCTAGATTAATAAATGGTTAGAAAATGTTTAGCAACAAATAAATTGTAAGGGAATCCTAACCTAAAGAACAAAAAGAAAAAGGGGGGAAAGGGGAAGAATATAGAGGAGGAGAAGAGGTGGTGATGCGAGGTGATGTGATGTGTGTGCGATTGCTGATGGAGGATGGAGACTAAATGGAATGCTCATCGAACGAGGGGCCATGGAAGAAACCAACGGATAACGGAGACAGAACATTTGACGCCCGAGCTCCGATGCTGCAAAAAGTCAGAAAGTCAGTTTTTAATCTAAGCTTTGATTGGTTAGATCTCGATAGAATGCGGGGAAAGCTTTGGTTCCATGGGTGGCGATGCCCAAATCTATCTTCTATCAGCCAATCAGAAGTATTTAGAACATTAGGTCCCTTGATTATACTTTTACATATGTACGTGCATCTCTCCATTGGTTCGTTCCGGACTTGTCCTCTTTCAACTCCCTTTTCTTGACAATGTTGATGACGATCCGACTTGGGACAATATCGTAGTCTCGCATCGAAGTGGTCGCCAGTGTATGTAGATGATATGTTCTAAACTCTTTGTTTTAGCATTAGGTCTAGGCCGCTTATACCTGTCATGAAAGGTACCTAGTCTTATGACAGTTGGATCTGAGATTCTTCTCTCAGGATGTCCTTTGGCATGTTGGTTGTTTCGATATCGTTGCTAAACCTTAATGTACAGGTATATACGGAATACACGTACTACCAATGACGAATATCCATAGGTCCGTACGTCGACACGAGACCAGCAGTTCCGCAGTTAATATTGTCAGACAATATCCAGTACCAATTGAGACGTAACCCCCTCTTTCATGATGATCTTATTCTTTACGATGTCTATTTGAGGTAGTAATACATATACGAACCTACGCAGATAGAAACAGCCAATAAAAGCAATTGCATTATGCGGAAGTGCATACGTTTGCATACGTTCGTGAGACCCTGAAAACTCCTAACGGCAACTCGCCATTAAGCAATTACATAATGCATTGTATATTCGAACCCGTACGAAGTACTTTGTACTCAAGTATCACATTTGTAATCCATTGATAGCTGAGCTATGATTGGCCAAACGACACTGTGGCGCGAGCTACCCTGAAAGGCTCTTTAGCCCCCGGCACCAGCCGTTTACATCATCCCGATTGACGGATTGATCATCTCAACTTTTCAACCGCAAAAGTGATAAAGAAGGATACTATCGCGACTGGCACATCACCATGTTTTCGCGCCCATTATTCTCAGCAGTATGTCTTCTTCTACGCTCCTCGCAGTAGCAATGATAGATACCTGGTAGACAGACATTAACTAAAACTTTCTTGGTGGCGACAGACCTTGCGGCAAGCCGCCCGACCCATCGCCAGGCCGGTGATTTGCAGTCGGCCAACACCTTTTCTCACAACCTTCCAGCAGCGACTTCTCTCCGACCACACGCGGAAAGCGATCGAGAAGGCCGTTTCCTCGGCACCCGTTGTATTGTTCATGAAGGGTACTCCCGAAACGCCGCAGTGCGGTTTCTCGCGCGCCAGCATCCAAATTCTCGGTTTACAGGGCGTCGACCCCAGCAAGTTCGCCGCGTTCAACGTGCTAGAAGACCAAGAGCTTAGATCAGGTACGAGTCCTCTTCTCCCCCGCCTCCGATCTAATAACGCATCGTGAGGTGAGAAGTCTAAGCTAATACATTACTCTACTCGAATAGGTATCAAGGAATTCTCGGACTGGCCAACAATCCCGCAACTCTACATCGACAAGGAATTCGTTGGCGGATGCGATATCCTCGTATCAATGCACCAAGATGGTTCGCTTGCCAAGATGCTCGAGGAGAAGGGCGTCCTAGCCCCCCTCGACGGCACATCCGAGTCCAAGGAATAAGGCAAATAAAAAGAGAGCAGTATGCGAGGGGCAATGATTCTATACTCCAAAATAGAAGCTAGACGACGTTTGTACGATTTGGTTAGTAATGCATATATAGACGTCAGTATGTATTTAATGCGGGAGCACTTGGTCGAGTTAGGGCTATCGAATACGATATCTTATGACTATTAGGTAGGAATTGACAAAGTATATCCACAAGGTCTCGAAACAATATAGCAAATAATACAGTCAGCGAGTAATATCACAAAGCACGATGTTAATAACACCTCGTAACACATATCTAATAAATAAAATAAAAAAATAAAAAAGCACCCTAACAGTCACCCCATATCCCATCCCCTTCATAGGCTAAACATGAATATTAGTGGTATGGTATAATTCAACTATCCACGCTCTCATTCATAAAGGATACGCCCCGCCATCACCCCGCGGATCGCTGCCCGCGGACCACACTCCCACGTTCTCAATGGGGTCAATGCTCCAACGGATGATCTGACCACGGCCGAACTTCGACCTCTTCACATCCGTCACAAGTTCGACTTGATGTCCCAGCTTCCGCAGACCCTCCACCGTCTCAGAAGGCATCCCCTCCTCCACGAATACCGTGAGGTCTGCCTTGCCCCCAATACTCATGTCAGAGCTGATGCACACGCGCGGCGCGTCGAGCGCTTGTTGCGGACTGAGATGGCCCACGATTTGTCCTAGTAGCACTTGTACGTGTCCTTGCGGCTGCATGAACCCGCCCATGACGCCAAAAACGCTATGCAGGCTGCCGTCGTGCAGGTTCGTCACCGCAGCCGGGATAATGGTGTGGTACGGGCGTTTGCGCGGTTCTAGAACGTTCGGGTGCGCTGCGTCGAGGGAGAAGTTGGCCGCTCGGTTCTGCAACGTAAACCCGCATCCCTTGGGGACGATGCACGTCCCGAATCCGCCGTAGTTGCTGTTTATGAAGGAGATGGCGTTTCCTTCGGCATCAGATACTGCGAAGTACACCGTGTCACTGCTTTGCAACGCTGGCGACCCGTGGTCCACTACCTGGGATGCTTTATCCGGGTTGAATAACGCGGCGCGCTCCGCGAGGTACGGCTGTGAGATCAGTCCGGGTGTAGGTACCTTGGTGACGTTGGGGTCGGTAACGAACCATCTTGCGTCGGCGAAGGCGATGCGCAGTGCTTCGATGATAGCATGCAGATACGGCGTCGTATTAAAGTCCGCGGGAGTCCATGTCGGGATCTTACCTGCGGCCTCAAGTTCCTGAATAATACCCAGCGCCATCAGCGCCACGATGCCCTGTCCGTTAGGCGGGTGTTCCCACAGCTCTAGACCAACATCCTGCCCCTCGCCTCCGCCGATAACCTTGTCTTTGAGAAACTCACGGACGTTTTGTCCACGAAACTTGAGCGAGATGGGCTCAACAGGCTCGCTACCCGTTTCGAGATGGTGAGTTAAGTCTTCGAGTTCAAGATATCCACCGAGATCTTGCACTACTTTGACAAGTTCCGACGCTACACGGCCGGCGTAGAATCCCTTCTTGCCTTGCGTAGCTAAGGCCCGGAACGTCTGAGCCAAATTCGGGTTCTTCATGATTTCCCCTGCCCGAGGAGCACGCACGCCATTCTGCGCGCCGGGGTCTTTCTTCAGCATTTCACCACCATTTGGAGATGCCCCCCTTATTTTCGCTTCTGATTTATTCCACTGTCGGAAAGTTTCTAAGTTTCAGTCTAACTCGTCCTCAGAAAGGCTTAACCAGAAGGTATATAATTACTTACAAAGTGCGCAACTACTTCCGAGACGGGAAATCCTTTTTCTCCAAGTTCGATAGCTGGTGCTAGGATCTGCTCTAAGGACAGCTTCCCACTGCCAAAGCGCTGGATTGTGTCGTACCACCCGGCCGCGGCGCCGGGCACGGTGACGGCATGCACGCTGCTCTTGGGGATCTTACCATATTCGCCATCTTTGATACCCAGCGCCTTGCGAATCGTCTCAAGCGTACACTTGTTGCCGGAGCGACCAGAGCCGTTCAATGCGGAGACTTTTTTCGTCTTGGCGTCATAAAAGAGACAGAACATGTCGCCGCCTATTCCCGTGGAACATGGCTCCGTCATGTTGAGCCCGGCAGCTACATGATCTTATTAGTCATTTACACTTTACCATATAGTTACCATATAGTTGTATTATATCGTACCGACGGCCACAGCTGCATCCTAATAGAGATATGAGCATCCAATCCACACCGGGACTCTGTTAATAAACACGTACAGCACAGTTACCCCCAGCTTCCAGGACTTGGATACCACATTTCGCCGCGAGGGGTTGCGTGCACGATACAATGCCTTTCGTACTATGGACTACACTTCGCCGGCTTGGAAACTTGGAGAAGACATGTGACGCCGGAGGAAACAGTGACGGCGTAGCGAGAGGCATTTTGGGCTAGTTACTGAGAGACAACCAGGTGCTTCGTTCTCCTTAACACAGCAATTTCTCAAGTGTTGAGTCAGCGAGTCTTGTATAAATTATAGACTATAATAGCAGGGTATAAACACATTCAGGAACAGTTCAAGCAGCGAATAGTGAAATAAGACAAGGTTATAGTTTTCAAGCTCAGCCCCTCGAGAGATAAGAGTTCAAATGACGTTTGTACAGTATGCGATTACCTCCAGTATCCGCAGTCTTGGTATGTTGTACCCGAAGGCTTAAGCCTGCCTCGGCAAATACCTCCCTAGACTAATAATCTTGCTATAGCGTAGCCGGGACCCCGAGTTTCGGAGCCGTCCCAAGTAACGGCGTCTAACCGTTAGGAAACTTGTCCAATTCGGGATTAAAAGTATGACCAATAAATGGGACTCTAACGATTCCCCTCCCCCACGCTTTCATCAAATTTAAGAACTTATCTATCGTATCCCTCTCTGTACAACTCAGTTATCCTCATATTAACTACCTCAAATAGAAAAGAAACCTCAAAGCTGCTCAACAACATGCTGTTCCTGCGTGCCCTCCGGCCACAGAGCCGGGCCAGGAGCTGTGTAATTCGTCAGGAAAGACCAGAATACCGGGATCAGTACCCCCGGCTCGTCCCCCCTGTACACGCCGGGGATCGTGACTAGCGGACCGAGATCCTCCTCCTCCTCCCTTACGTCCGCGCCCAGATTATTAGTCACATCTTCCTCCCCCGCAACGACTTTAATCTGCGCGCACGACACGTAGAACTGGGCTTGCGCCCATTTGTGCGCCGCGTGCAATGCTAATCCCTCGGCTCGGAGGAGGTACTCGCCTGGCGGAGTCGAAGTCGGCAGCGCGAACCGGAAAGTTTCCATGTTGTGCGTGGCCCACGTGAGCACCTCCTCCTCCTCGTCATTGGTAGAAGAGGAATTGGTGGAATTGGTTGGCGACGATGTGAGCGAGTACACTCTAGCCCAACCCCCGGATCCGTCGTAATCAGCGGCCGCGACACCTTCGGGTGCTCTAGATAGATACACCTGTTGGATGCCCGGGTGGCCGAAGTGTTCGTCGATCCCGAAACCGACCTCGTCGCCGACGCGCACCGTATAAGTCTCGGCTGCCTGGGCGTCCACGTTACACCGGAAATCGGTCGAGTTCACATTCGTCAATGGCGCATTTGAGTTATTGTGACGTCGGATATACTGCCAGGGCTCTCCGACGACTTCATCGTTCACAATTAGTCTGCTATAAGTCCAATGGCCTAGCGTTGTTGATATACTGCTGGCAAGGGTCAGGCCGTAGAGGATCGTTTTCGATATCATCTTGTTGCTCTGGTTCTTGCTGATGTGTTGGCTGAATCTAATGGATCAAGGCTAGAAATTGAATATCACGCTTTCCAGTTTCTGCTGCTATGTAGACTTCATTAGGTACCTACTTATAAGAAGATACTGGAATCAATGTGCTTGAGTCCTTGCAAGTACGCTGCAGATCGATTCCTCACTGGTCATCCAGCAATATATTCCAGACCCATCTTTGCGCAGTTTCGCGAGATTACTCCGTTAATAATAGGCCGAGAGAAAAATAGGAGCTTCGTATTCCTGATCACATACATAAAGGCTAAATATGGCTGCATTCAAAACCAGGCCCGGATAGACGATCCTACACTGTACTGAAAACCCAGCAGGCTGATAGTTGAAAACCCACGAATTAAAGAACAATAGACTCTTGGTTTTTTTCGTTGGCGTGATTGAGGAGCTTCTTTGCTTATTGTTCAATATTATCGTTTGTTCTTTAAGTAACATTTCCGCCAGCTACTAGCGAGAACAGCAATCATAGCATAGAATTAAGCAACTCTGATCGCCCTTCCACATAAAAACTATTATATAGGTACTTTTATCCCGTTTTTATGTCCAGTGTGAACAGTTCATTATTTCCGTTGAGAATTATAAATATCGCGTATATGAGTATACCTGATATTTTTCCTTCAATAAGTGTTAATTGAAGTCTGCGCTCCTCGGACTCCGCATAGTGCTTATCTACAAGTTGTAGACTTTCAGTAAGACGAGGGGCTTGACGTAACTTGCCTGCTCCTTTTTGATTATTTCCATATAGTAATCGTCGGAACAGGCGGGCTGTAGCAATGGGATTTCTACGCTATGTACAACGAGTACTCATAGCGTTGTTGCGATGTTCATGATAGGGAAAACGCTAGGTCCGTTAGAGATGTGATTATAAGGGTAAATATTAATTTCGAAGTGTATAAATGTATGATCGGTTAAAATGCAGTGCTACATATACCATAGGTAAACCTTGAGCGATTCCCGGTGTTGGCTCCTATCGTAAAATGAGTTCATGAGATTATAGTATTATAACTCCAATATGTCTAATATATAAGGCCGAGCACTAACAAGTTTCTACTTAAACGGTCCAATATTATTTAGTTTCCTGATAAGAATTACGCCTACCCGAACAAATAAAAACATGCGGCAATAGCTAGTAAATAACTTCACTATCATGAACTTCGATTGAGTTAACCAACACAGCACGTTAGTATGTCACATATCGAGTAACGGAGACTTCTTAATGGACAAATGTGTAAATCGGTAATATTAGGTTATTACTATCAGCTAGCTATATGAGTTCTTGAGAGAATAGTTAACACTAACAATATGCTATGAGGTAGTTATGTGGAAGTTGTGATATGTCCATAATCAAATAAATTTACTGTTTTCCTGCTTCATTTAGAGTTGATCGTATGCTCTGCGGTCTTTACTTTATTACCTAGAAACTTTGAGATTTATACCGGCCGTATTTCATCTAATAATATACAAATCCATCAAGAGATGATGTGGAATATATGTTCTGTACTCAAAGATTTGACAATAATATTGGCATAAGAAAACAAGTATTATAGGTAAACTACACATAGGCTAGGAGACGACACTTATTTCGTAACTTCATGTACCATGCTTGCTTGACGATCTCCGAAAGTTGGAAACCATAGAAACGAAAAATATTTTCTTTTTACCCACTCCAACCAAAGTCTTGGAAGTAATCATAAAAGTAATCATCAATGAGATCTACTTCCACTTTTTAGTAAAATGAATAGCAACTTACCCTCCAAGAACTGCTTTGCTTTAGTGTAAACCGGATTAGGCCAATATATCTCTGAATCACTTGATACCTAATTATCTGTTAACCCGATAGTATTTATCAAAAAAAGGTAGTAAGTACCAAAATGGAAGGCAAAGGGTAGAATCAGCACTTTTGGTCGCGTTGTTGGGGCTACAAGTAGTTTTGACCACGCGTTATCCCCACAACGGTATTTACGAGACAGCTGAAGACTAAGGGGGCCAGAGGGAAATAACCTAAATAAGATACAGACTTTGTCCTCGGGAGCCTGGTTGAAATAGTGGGAACTACAATGTTTGGTATACCAAGGGGCGCTTTCTTAACTTCTAAAGTACTGCAAAAGACTGTGACTGTGCGTTGTTTGTGGTTGTTATGGAGGAAAAGTCCAGTATCTGTGCAAAATGAGCCCACCATTGTCGTCCCTTCCCAGTAGTGTGTGCTTGATTTCAATGTGTATCTGTGCACCGGAAAAATATTCGTAACCTTTAATATTCGTAACCTTTAAAATTCTACACAAGTTTGTAAATTTCAGGCACGAAATAAAATCGGCGACTTCCTTCTCACAACAATAATTCTCACAACAATAACTGCCGCATCGCCGACATTCACAACTACAACTCTAGTAATACTACACAGCACGGTCAATATGGTGGAACCAGGAATGCCGCTCGCCCCTTGGGAACCGCTCACTAATTGGTATGATACCAAATTGGAAGACATTCTACCCCATGACGGATTCATCTTCAAAGAAGGCCACAAGATCTTCAAAAAAAAGCAAGACTGGGTTCGAGTCAAATGGGCCATCGAGGCACCCGCGCCTACCCTCGAAGAAGACAAGGTCGACGCCGCACTAGCCGCTATCATGAATGACGCCAACATCATTTCCAATACCTTTCAGCAAACTTATTTTGCTCTTATCGACTACAGTCGCTTCCCTACCGACGCCATTCTCGAATCGGCGCGTAAAAAGCACGACTGGACTGAAATCGTACCTGACGGTCGGTTTCCCCATCTCATGAAGAAACTGATCCGCGCACGCACTCTTTACAACCGAATCACATGGATTCTAGGTCGTTCAGAGACCGAGAAGAGTAAGCAGCAGGGAAAGCTAGCAACAGCTATCGACGAGTGGACTAGAACGCGTCCGACTGATGATCCCGAACCGTTCTACGCGCGAATGCCTCAGTACCTCAAAGACTACATGATCAGCCGACTGATTGAGGGAAAGGGTGCGGATTGGAACTACTTCAAGGGCGATCACTCAGACGACGAGGAGCCTACTAGCCATGGTACGAGCGAAGTCACGAAGAAGAAAGGATCCAAGAAAGGATCCAAGAAAGGACCCAAGAAGATCTCGAGTGATGAAAACGCGCCCTGGGTACATACCAATTACGCGTCTAACCCCGATCGCGTCCCGGAGTCGATGGAAGAGGAGGACGACGAGAACGCGCCCTGGATTCCCTGGTCCCAGACAATGCGCGCACGCCAGCTAGTACACGGCCCTACGAAGGAGGAGAGTTTACTGTCATATCGTATGTGAGCTACATACGTAAAGGAAAATGGAGGGTATTCGGGGGTGGGCACGGAGTAGGTACGGAGCAGGCGCGGAAAAGGGGGGGAAGAAATTAGGAACGAAATAAAGTAGTGGGGCCGATTGTTAGCATGAAGGCACGGAAGACGCCGGTAGTGTATTATGTGCTGGGACCAATCAAATTCTGATCGCAAGCCCCACATACCCCCCAGAGCTCTGAGTTAGCTGGTTAGCAGCTTAAGTACCTGTACAATAGCCGCAGAAGGGTGCTGATACCTATACATAATAAACCCCGCAAACTGCCGTCATGCGATTGATACTTCACAAATACATCATATGACAAGTCCCCAACTCCTAAGCGGCCGCCACAGACCTTGGAGAAACGTAAGTTTTCCTCATGTTCTTATTCCCATCCAAGTTTCTTTATCCGAGACCTCGTTACCGGTACCTAGCTCAATGGTATAATGGTATGACGGTGCAAGCCAAGTGGGCTGGTCCGATCCCAAGATCTGGGGGTGAACCGCAAGGAGCTCCCTAGCTAGGAAACATATTTCTATACCAACTACAAACGGAAGCTTGGATAATCAAGCGAGACTTCACCTGTGATCTGATTACCTAACAAAGACCTGGCCTCGAAGCTCCGATCTCGTCTTCGGAGCTTGCCATCATCTTGACGTTTCCATGTTATTTAGTTAAACCTGATCCTGTTGCAAAATTGAACTTGACCTGACTTATTATTGCCTCTAGACTTAACTAAAACATAGGTAGCTTAGGTACTTAATTGATTAAAGACCATCATATTCACCTTACAGTATACCCCCTAGGAACATATATAAGAAGGAAGAGCAAAAAAGCAGCCATGCTCCAAGCCATCTCCTCACAACACGACGCCCACCACGAGCGGCGGCGCAAGAATTCGCTCGCAAGTCTAACGGGCTCGCTGCGGGATAACAAAGCACATCTACTACTTGCGGCCTCCGGATCCGTCGCCACCATTAAACTACCCCTGATCATCGAGGCGCTAGCGAAGAGGCACTCGGCGCGAAATAGCGGCAAGGAGCTCAGCATCCGCGTGTTGCTAACGCCAGCCGCATCGCGCTTCCTCGCGGGCCAGTCCCACGAACAGCCTCCTGTGTCATCGCTACTTTCGATGCCGTGCGTCGATGGCGTCTACGTGGACGCAGATGAGTGGCGCGAGCCTTGGAAACGCGGCGATGCGATTCTACATATCGAGCTACGACGATGTAAGTACTTTCTTACCACTCTTAATACCTATCTTTTTTTGCCTCTCAAGAACGTAATACATAGACTAACACTTAAGAAAAAAAGGGGCTGACCTCCTCGTCATCGCCCCCCTGAGCGCAAATACCATGGCCAAGATCGTAGGCGGCTTTGCCGATGGCATTCTGACAAGTGTCGTGCGTGCGTGGGACGCATGGGGCGAGCTCGACAGCGACCTGGTCTTGACTAACGGCGAACAACCTCTTCTCAACGGGAACAGAAGGAGGCGGCAGAAGAAACATATTATTGTGGCGCCGTAAGTAATTCCACCATACATACCCCGCTAGATATTCGAGTATTCAGAGCCTAGTTATTCGTGTTATCATAAGTAAGTCGCATCTGAACCCATGTCACTGACCGAGAATCTCAGCGCCATGAACACAGCCATGTGGCGACACCCCGTTACGGCCAAATCGCTACGCATTCTAGAGGAGGAATGGGGTGTCCACCGTAACAGCAGCAAAGCAGCGCAAGTACCAACCGCAGACGAGGGCCACGCGGTAGAAGAAGAAAAGGTCCAAAACGCTGATACTGACGATGATGGCGGCTGGTTCGAAGTTCTACGACCGCAGCAGAAGACGCTGGCGTGTGGCGACGTTGGAGACGGCGCTATGATGGAATGGAAGGACATCGTTCCTATCATCGAAGACAGACTGGGCTTAAATGAATAAGTGAGCAGTTTCACCAATTTGCCGTCTAAAGTTAGTTGGGTGATGTAGGGTAGTAATACGAGTGGCTACACACACAGTACTAGGAATAGGGGTTAGGTAACACAAGAGGCGCGGTTTTACGTATTATTGATGTACTACTATGGTACGGGACTTAATGTAAATAAGGGGCCAACCCTTGCTTGATTTGCAGGACCAAAAAAAGTATCATTACAACTGAGCAACAGAGAGATGGAAAGACACAAGCCGATCTCAGATAAATTATCGAGATGAATGGGCTAGGTCCGCAAGTCCATCGTCAGGTTTGCAAAAGCTAAGCTCGAAGCAACTATTATACATTCCTCCTAGTGATCATATCGTCCTTCGTAACACCCATGTCGTATTACACCATCCCTCTTGAATTATGAGTCTCGTTCCTTGAAATGGATCTGACAACGTCAGAATGCTGGTTTTCATGCGGTTTCCTTTTTTTTTTTTTTTAAAAAAAAAGAAAAGAAAAATCATAGTAACTCAACGCAAGGCCCGGCAAGGTATGCGGTGAGAGAACCTATGCTACTGGCCTGCTTGCTCGTAGAAAAAGAGAAAAAGAATTAAGTTCAGACTGGCCGACGAGACCGGTTGTAATGACATCCCGATCTACCAACGGGAGTACGATGCAAGAATCCCCTTTCATGCCGTATGCCTCCTATTCCTTGAGGCGAACTCCTTGCAATGCAGATTTTTTGTACAATAATGAAGAAAAAAGCGCAGATATAACTTAAGAGTGGTATTCGTAAGTCGAGTCTTGATTCAGGCTGGTCTGGTACTAGTTATACTAATTCGGACCCTGGTTCTGAAGATCGTTCGGGTCGTGTCGAAATGTGCAATTGCTGCCCTTGGCACACTGACCCTTCGCCCAGAATGAGCATGGTTTCGTGCCGATGAGGGAGCGGTTGATGTTCTTTTGCTCCCTGTTACCTCGGAAATCCCTGCGGTTGCCGCGGTCATTACTATCATGCTGACTTTGCGTTGCCTGCGGTTGATTGTGCTGGGATTGGCCGCCGAAAGATTGATTGTTATGACCATAGCCAGTATATGCCTGGCTGGTTTGGGGCTGAATCTGAGGCTGGGCCTGGCCCTGAGACCAGTCTGGCCAATAGCCCTGAGGCGCGGCGTAGGAAGCAGCATTGGGAACGACATTGGGAGCCGCGTGAGGGGTAGTATACGCCGGTGCTGAGGCTACCTTTAGGGCATCTAAAATCCCCTGTAAACCTTGCAAAGGATTGGCCGGCTGAGCTGGTTGAGGTGGAGGGCCTGACTGCTGAAGTAAGGCGGCAAGGAATGGCTGTTGGGCAACAGGATTCGGCTGAGGAGAAGGGGCCACAGGAGGCTGGATGCTCGGCGGGAGAGTCTGACCGGCGCTGAGGGCATTGATTTTCTGAAGAGCTTCTAGATACTCTGGTGGAAGTTGCTGTTGCGGCTGCGGCTGGACCTGTTGTGCCTGAACGTACTGTGGCTGGGCCAGCTGTTGGTATTGTTGACCAACGCTTGCTTGGGGCATGGCTGGCTGGCTGGGAGGGGCCTGTTTACTGATGAACATTGCAAACGTATCCTCCAAAGCATCGATGTCTGCTTGAACCTTAGGATCCCCATAATCATGCCGACGGTGAGTCTTGGGGTGCGCTGGGTCGAATGGGTCTGGATCCACGTAGTTCTTGACCTTGTCCGATTGTAGTAAGGCGAGCACTTCTGACGCATCATCTCTTCCACTTGAAGCATCCCATCCACTGCGACTACGCGCTACATTAGTAGAATCCGTCGAACTAGGTGAGCCTCTCGCCCGATGAAGGGCATTGACTCGTGCCGCCTCGGGTCCAAAATGTATATTGTCGGACCAACGGCGGTGAATCTCTGCATGTTTGGTATTCGTCGCCGGCAGAGATTCATGCCACTGGGTCGGGCCTGATGGCAGAGTTCGGATCTTTGGTTGCGTTACAGTCTCGGCGATCCTACCGGTTGGCGATCTAGGCGTCTCGGGAATTTCCGAGAAGCTTGTGTATATAGCCATTAATTCCCGGCTTTCGTACTCTTCCATCACCTTATTCTGCTTGGACTCGACTGGACGCAAGCCACCACGAGATGCAAACATTTCTTCTTGCCGCTTCTGAGAGATACGGCTCTCTTGTACAGATGAATAAGGGGCAGGCTCGCTCCATTTTCGGAGGGCGATATCGTTTGCTTTCTCTCGGGCTTCGTCCTCCTCAGCCTCGTCTACCCCTTCCTTTTCCCGTTGAACTGACTCTCTCAGCACCTGACCTTCAGAGCGGTTGTCTCGGGCATCTCGTAGCATGTTATCATCTCGGCCCTTATCCTCTGCTGTATCGTGCTCCAAGATACGTATCTCCGTGAGTTCACTATCCGGTTTCCAAGTAACATGCAGCTTTCGTCTCGCCTCCTTACGGAGTCTGATCTCAGTCTCCTCTGGAGTCTCTGGGGCTCTCTCCGGTTCCTTGGCTTGCTTGGGTTTCTCCTCCGAATTGATCTCGGCGAGGAGACCACCAATTGTGGAAGAGGCAGATTGTCGAGGAACCGGCTTCTTCGGCTGTGCCTTGGTAGACAGTCGTGATCTGCCAGGGAGCATTGACCCGCTAGGCCTAGAGCGAGACTGTGCGTTCGCTGACGAACTTTGGGGAACTGCGGGAGTTGCGTTAGATGTCTTAGCACTCGACGGAGCACCGGCAGCATTCTCGACGGCAAGTTTCTTCGGGACTCTCGAATCGACGCCATCATCCCCAGGTCTCTTGGAAGCAGTAAGAGAAGGGCTCGCTTTTGTAGCTGTACTGCTAACCTTTCTGGCCGACCCAAGGTTGGAATAGTCGACAGGTCTCTTGATGTCTGCGCTATTCTTCTTCGACACAGCATCACTCTTCGAAAGCGATGCATTAGAAGGAGCTATGACAGGGTCCTTGGTGCTCATCGAAGATGACTTCTTAGGACCCTGACTAGCTTTCCTAGCATCGTCGCTTTTCTTGACGTCCTCTCGAGTCTCCTCAGCCTTCAATGCAGACCGCTTCTTAGCATTGTCAAAGATCTGATCCATGTAATCGGTGGATTCTTCATCGAGATTGTCCTTAAACTTCTGTCGGACGCGATCCAGTTTGACTCTCTCTTTCAAAAACTCTATTTCCACCGTAACAAATAGTGAGAGGAGTTTTAAGATAGCCTTTGGTAGGCGGCCGTTATAATCTTCAGCTATGAAGAGGGTCCGGAGTATAATGGAAAGGTTGCCTAGGAATTTGGTATGTATACCCAGTTGAGTGACGGTGAATCTATCACCAAACATGATAGCGGCCTCAATAGCGACACGGATCGAGTCATATGTAGTGTCCAAATCAGCTTTGAGTGATTTTGCTTTATCCTGATCATCTTCCTTTTTAGCATCATCAACTTTGCTCCTTAAGTCTTTGCTCTTAGACCACAAGTCTATAACGTAGTCGCCAAAGGCATGGACCTTCTCCCCGACCAACTTCTGTGGAAATTCAGGATGCTTAGGATCGCGCCAGAGAATGTTGATAATATCATACTCTATGGCCTTAAGAGCATTGCTTGGCCGAGGAGTTGACTTGATCTATTTAGAGTCGCGTTAGTTTTAAAAATTGATACAAACAGCTAGATATGGGAAAAGATTAAAGTAATTCCAGCAATTAAAAGTAACATACCGTTCGTGCTGCGGTGTCTGTCGCGCTCTCTTCATCTTCAGGCACATTCTCCAAGCTTTTAGGCTTTGAAGCAGGATCCATGTTGGATGCTTGACGTTTCGAGCTGGCTTTGACTTTTACTTGTGCACCAGGTATGAGGTCTGCAGTGAGATATTAGCTTAACTAACCAAAGGGAAAAAAAGACCGATGTAAATATTTCTAATGTAACAAGGGTTTAATGCTTACCTTTAGATCCAGACACAATAACAGGCTCGTTTTCCAGTTCGGTTATCCGATTTTGCAGTTTGTCTTTCTTGGGTTGAAGGGCCTTAGCGTGTTCTTCTTTTAATATGTCAAGCTCTGCTTGAATTTCACAGGGAAGTCGACTCTCACGTTGAGGTAAGAGAGTGAAGGTGCGCGGGTCGTGTTTAGCAATGTATGGTTTATCTGTGTTTCGTAGGTTCACGTCGCAATATCTGCCTGTTTTTGTAGGCGGCGGATTTCGCACAAGAAGGAAAGGGCAACCGTCAGGGTTTACCCAAGAGTTGTCGGGTTCCGTAGCAACAACTAGTTCATTTGAAAGCGTTGGCCCCACAACTGGCGCCGCCTGTACACTGTTGGCAGCTACGGTTGCGGGTGCGGGTGCGGGGTGTGCCTTAGGTGTTGGAACAATACCTTGCATCTGTTGATGCCGTGCGTAAATCTGACCGGAAGTTTCTTGCACACCTGCACTCGGGTCAGGCTGGAACTGCATAATAGTCGCACCTCCCGGTTGATGGCCCGGATAAGACTGAAGCACAGGTTGAGGCTGCGATCTGAAGCCTGTTGGTCCATTCCTGGCGCTGAATACCTCCTGATTAAAGAAATTATTTCCTTGGTAAGAGCTCACATGCTGTTGGTACGTCGGTTCGCCATTGCGATGACCATAATTAACGGGATTCAGGTCGAATCCGGATTGGAACTGTTGAATTTGAGGTCCTTGCCATGGCTGAGAACTGAAAGCACTCGGCGTATGGCTATGAGTTCGACTCGGCTGTTCAGTTATGAACTGACTGTGGACTTCCCTATTCGAGAATCCAGGTTCATATCCTGTGTCGACATTGAAAGGACCTTCGTATGGGTGCTCGAACTGGCCATGGCCATGGATACCACCTCCGTTTGTGTTCGCACCGCCAAAACCATGGAGATTTCCATAGTATCGCCCATGGTCCTGGGCACTACCTTCCGGAAACTGGCCATGCAAATCAAACTGATTCCCAGGATGCCCAGTATGTGAAGGATAAACATGGCCGTGGGCGAGGTTATTTGGATCTGCTGTTTGGAATCCTTCCAGAGAGCCTATTTGGATGCGTCCTTCATCTGCTTTGAGACCACTCGCACCATAACTGGTCGGATCCCAGTTGGGGGGATGACCGGCCATCATGGGCTATGCTGAAGTCCTTTGGGGGAGCACGTGATAGGGGATCAATTGTGGCACGTGATCTATTCTGTGTGTCTCCACATTAGTAATCACAGCCACACATGGAGTGGGGCTGCTGCAACCCTATTGGGGGGTAAAGAATCGTCAGGGGAACAAGGGGTGGGGATATCAAGCAGCCCCATTCAAAAAGTGAACTTATTCAGCAGCTGTCATCACTTACCAAGGCTGATTGTGCGTGATAGGATATCTTGGTCACAGCATTACAGTCAATGCCATGAGTAAAGGGTACGTCTCCAGCAGGGAAAAGGTCGTCAATTTGGTATGGTTGTGAAACTCGGTATGGATCTTCAATGGGTTAAAGGTGTCGGTTTAGTGAATCCACAAAGTGCAGGGGTGTGGTATTAAGGTGATCCTGTAAGAAGCAGTTGGGGCTTGCAGGTTGCGTTCAGACCGGAACAGGTATGGGTTGACAGCAGATCAAAGCCACCTGCAAAGAGACAAATCAGTGTTGGCCTCGAGGAAAGGAAAACCAAAAAAAAAAAAAAGTTGCACAAGTGAGAAGTGGTAGTGTGGATTAGGAAAATGCAGAAAGGAAACAACACTGGATAGAAATCAGTGAAGAAAAAAAATATTATTGGAGACAGGCAGTTGGGCAGTGGCATCTCAGTGACGATGATGGGGCATTATCGAGCCATCGTCGTCCAAAATCATCGGCCAGGAAGGGGATATTGGCGTAACCATCGCGGATCGGCTTTGACGTTATAACTAGATATGGTCGTCTATAAATTCGGGACGCCTGAGCTTCCTATTATAACGCTCACGCCCTTTCGGTAATGGAATAAGATACAGCCACAGCATGGTTCAGCCTGCCGGAATCTCTAAAAGGGGACCGGATAACTTGTGATTATAAGTCGAAACTGCATAGCTGAAGACATGCTGCTTGATATCTAGGGTTGAAATCGGACTGATGAGTATTGCTCCATGTGCTTTCGCTAACTGTCTTTGTCCAAACCTTTGGTGGACCTGCCGGCATAAAGCAGTCCCTATCCCCTTGGAGGGACGCTCAAGAACTCTTGGCTGGGAACAATGGAGAGACCATTAATTGACTGATGAAGAGCCTAACAGCATGCCGAGACCAGAACGATCTCATATGCTGCTAGACGTTCATATTCAAAATTAGGGTATTTTCAGGGAGACTACGTCTCTCTTCAGCTTTTAAGCCTCTTTCACTCTCCGTCCCTCTGTAAGATGGGAATTTAGGAGTTACTTGTTAGATGTTTGGATTGGTCACTAGAACTCTTAATGTTCAAGTAATACCCCTCGGATGCTCTGCTGTAATTCAAAGTGAAGATGCGTCCATTGTTTCCTTTTTTTTTTTAATCCTGCTGTTGGCTGCCAACCCAAATTTCCTACTGCCGAAACGCAAATATACTGCTGCAAGAATCGGGATTCGGGGATGGGCGGAGAAAACCCGTGATAGAGTAATCAACCAGGGCGCACACACACATACAAACACATGCTCTCTTAAATTTGTGCAGACAATAGTGCTGGAAGGGCTCTTGGGAAGGGGAAAAAAAGGGGGGGGGGAGAAAAGGGGGAGGGGATTTGATGTTATTGTCATACCCTTTATAGTCTTTAGTTTAAACTCCTATCCGGCGATTGAAATCCACCTCCTTCTGCTGCTGTTTGCTACTGCTTCTTCTTATGAAGAGGACAGCTGCTTGTCATGCTCTCATTATTGAGAGATATACTTTTACGACATCAATTCTCCTCGGGACTTAGATGGGAGGAAAGAAATAAGTCTATCTCAAAGATCCTGAATGAGTGGACTGAAGAACAGTTTTTTGTTGATTGCTAGCCTGAATGATCGGATGACGAAGAGCGAGCGACCGAGCGAACGGTACAAAATATTGCGAAATATATGGTCAACTAACCACGAAGAAACCCTCTCTATGGGAATTATTTACTCTCAAATTAGAAGAGAATTAAATTTAGATAATACCAGAGCTGCAATGGAGTACAATTAAGTGATGGCAAGTCGATGACAGACAAGAGGACAAGAGACAATGTGGCAATTGAGAGAGAAGAAAAAGAGACGTGACGGGGCGGGAAAAGGATAAAAGAGGAAAGTTGGCGTCGCAAGCTTTTTTTCGGGGGATCGCGCGAGCAAGGGGAAAGAAAAACCACCCAAAGTGGAGCTGAGACTTTCGCCTATGGCCCTTTGGGGGGCTAGCGCTGGTATGTCGGCTTCCTTGTTTCACAGTTGGAATCAATAAAAGGTAAATGCAACCTTGATAATCCCGGTTGTGTGGTGTGTTCTACATACATACATACGTATGCCCGAGTTTACGAGGGATATTGTCTGGCTGATCTCAAATTCCTAAAATGGAAGAATTCCTTGAGAAGGAAGTTCGTCCGTGCGCAGCCTTTAAGCGTTTTTATTGGGTGCATCTTCTAAGAATAACGGGTCTTACCAGATACCAGATTCCCCACTTTTGAGAAAAAGGTCGAAATACGTACTGTTTCGAGCCCTCCTCCAGGATGCTAAAGGTGCTGAGGGTGCTAAGGGGTGCTGAGGGGTGTTGAGGGGTGCTGAGGGGTGCTGAGGGTGTTGAGGGTTGCTGAAGGGTATTGAGGTTCGAATCCCACGCTTTCTTCCTTTTTCCAATTTTTCCAATTTTTAAAGAAATTCTAGTAAAGGCTGGTATTCGAGTTTGTTGCCGCTGTTGCCGGGCCGGCTGGCGGGTGACGGGTGGGCGGGCGGCGCGCGCAGCGCGCCGACCGCCCGCCAGTAGCGGCACGTGATTGATTTTCAGTCCTTTGTAAACTCGGGCTATTGTGGTGCCCCACAGGGGTGCCCTCTTGTCCAATAGGTAGCTACGGAATATTATGTACATAAGTAGTAAGTGGTAATCAAACCTATAAATCTTACTATTATTAACGTGGCGTATACCTATTATACTCAGGCGCCAGTAATCATCATAAGTAAGCCAAGTAAGTACACATATCTTCTCAGCCCGGATCTCATAAATATAAAATTTAATCTATTTGTACCTACCTACCTACCTATCAAGAGTTATAGCGCAAGGCTATGTAGGTATATTTACCTAACTATACGAGTAATGCTAGAAGAGAGGGGATCGAATCATCTATATAATAAAACAGTTAGGTACCTGTCTGTACTCTTGCTAAATACATAAAAAGAAATAGCGCGCTATAGTGCCCTTCCAGACCTTATTAGGTTAGATACTTATGAATCTGTACTACCAGAACATTAAAATGACCAAATCCTCCAATTAACACGTGCGAGGCTACAAAATACCTAGGTACTTCGTACATTGAATAGGAAGTCGTGTCATTTGCTGGATCCACGGGAGCTAAGCTCTTCTCTGTAATTCAATAACCTCGACGTCAATGAGCCTTGATAATATTTTGATGGATGAAGCATGATACCCCGGGATATCGCAATCCCCTACGATTCGAGAGCGGCATATGAGTGACGACTTAGAAATATACAATCCGACTACAATTCGATTATCTTCTCTCAACTTACAGGTCGCATTCTAAATACATGTATATGTATGACTTGGACGACGGCGACAAGTACACTTCTAGCAGCACCGCGCAAGGGTCCAATATAGCAACACGGCGCAAAAACGGATGTGAATAAAACATATTCCCCCGAACTTCATCGTCTCCGTCATCGTCTCTATCGTCATCCTCATGGCTGGAGCCAAGGGGAATTCGCTACGCGATCGTCAAATTGGTCCGACTCCCAGCATAGATCCCTCTTCTTCTAGCTCTCCGGACTTGTCCAGCTAACATACATTAGCATCGCTAAAGAAGATTCTCAACTTGAACGAGGTCGTCGAACAGAAAGATGAAGACGAGACCCATGTCAACGGGTTGGCCCCTGTCGGTCCCATCCTAAACGCTAACGGCGAGCCTGTATGGAAGGTCCTCGTCTTCGACGACCTTGGTCGCGATGTAATCAGTAGCGTCATGAGAGTAAATGACTTGCGATCAATGGGCGTCACTATGCACATGTAATAAACCTTTACGAATTGGATAGGTCGTTATCGTATCACTTATTAACATACGGTGTTTATCCAGGCATCTAGCCGCATCTCGACATCCTATTCCCGACGTCCCCGTCATATATCTCGTCGAGCCGAGTCCGAAGAATTTGGAGGGCATAACGGGCGATCTACAAAAAGGCCTTTACTCTCCTGCCTATATCAACTTCCTCTCCTCCATACCGCGCCCCCTCCTCGAGGATTTTGCATCGCAAACCGCAGCTGCCGGCACCGCGGAGCACATTGCTCAACTATTCGACCAGTACCTTAATTTTATCGTCGCGGAACCAGACCTATTTAGCTTAGGGATGCAAAAGGAACACACATACTGGGCATTGAATAGTGCAAAGACCAAGGATGAGGAATTAGATCACGTCGTCGACAGGATAGTCAGTGGTTTGTTTAGTGTTGCCGTGACTATGGGTACGATATTCCAACAAGATCGCATGATAATCACTATGCTGATTAGATATTTCCAGGTGTCATTCCAATCATACGATGTCCTAAAGGTGCTGCCGCGGAGATGATTGCTGGTAAACTCGACCGAAAGCTTCGCGACCACATTCTTAACTCTAAAGACAATCTTTTCTCTTCTAATACGCGTCCCGCCTCATCCGCAGGCACTCCTGCCTCTCGTCCCGTTCTTGTCATCCTTGACCGAAATGTCGATCTGAACCCCATGCTCTCGCATTCCTGGACATATCAGTCGCTCGTACATGACGTCCTTAACATGAAGCTCAATAGGATCACTATCGAGACGCCTATAGACGAAGAGAACCCGGCGAAGGGGGTAACAAAGAAAGCTTACGACCTGAATTCTACGGATTTTTTCTGGGAGAAGAACTCCGGCGTACCCTTCCCCCAAGTTGCAGAAGATATCGACGCTGAGTTAATGCGGTACAAAGAAGACGCGCAAGAAATTACCAAAAAGACAGGCGCATCGTCTATAGAGGACTTGCAGAATGATACAAGTGCGAGCGCTCAGCATCTCAAGGCGGCGATAACGTTACTGCCAGAGTTAAGGGAACGAAAAGCCGTGTTAGATATGCACATGAATATCCTTGCGTCAGTTTTAAGGGGAATAAAAGACCGGCAATTGGATAATTACTTCCAGATGGAAGAGAACGTCATGAAGCAGACGAAAGCTCAAGTCTTAGAAGTTATCAAGGATAACGACAAGGGTAACGATCCCTTAGACAAGC